TAAAAAATATTAAAGAGGAGACATTAGTGCAATGAGGAGAAATCTCTCTTGGCTTCAGAATCTAATTCTCTCCAAAGGCAAACTTTGATAATGGTTTCTTGTATATTCTTGTGTATCCTTCTAAATATGTTCTAGCCTTATACAAATATATATCACATATGAGTATATGTGTATTTAAAAACATAGGTATGCAGCATAGACACTGTTCTGTGACCTGATTCTCTTCATGAGCCCCTGCACGCTGGTAACCTTTCACCAGCAGCACATTAGGTCTTATTTCATTCTTTGCTAACACAGTAAGGGCAGGTTTAGTGGTGGTGTATTATTCCTGTCTGCAGGCAGGTATTATTTACTTGAGCAGTGTGTGTGTGTGTGTGGGGGGATTGAAATATGCATATGTTGGGGGAACACTGGGGGGCAGGGGGCTAAATTGGTAAAGTGTTTTAGGTGAAAGGAACAGTGCAGGCAGAGGCTGGGGGAGGGGCAAGCCAGGGGGTTTCTCCAATCAATTAACCTATTCTGTGTCAAACTCCATGTGTGTATGCGTGCACGCACGTAAGTGTACACAACCTGCCTTCCACACATCCCATTTTCAAATCCAGAGACAGAACAGTGTTCCCAGCATGGAGGAGGTCTGGTGTCAGAGATCCAGGATGGATCGCCTGGTGTGACTTACTCTCCCAGACTCACCTCCAAAATGCTCATTTTATTGGTCACTCACCTGTATTTCCTATTTAAGTATTACATCTTTTTAAAAAACTCTTTATTGAAACCTAATACTGAAAAGTGCATAAATCCTAAGAATCCAGCTCCATGAATTCCCACAGAGAAAACACAGCAGGGAAGCAGCACCCAGATCAAGAAACAGAACAGGACCAACCCCCAGAACCCCCAAGTCCCTGCCAGTCACTGCCCCAGATGTCTGAGTTCCTGACTTCTCACACCAGGCAGCTTTGCCTGTTTTCAGGCTACATGTGGATTCGCGCTGGGTGTTGTCTTTTGACCTGG